CAGTGGCTAAGACGCTGAGCTTGTCGATCAGAAAGGTTGGCTGTTCGAATCTCTTGTATAGGTCTCCTGCCTGAGCAGTGGGGTTGGACTAGATGACCTCCAAGGTCCCTTCCAACTCTGTTACTGTTACGGTCACCTCTATGAGACAATGTCATTCTATGGGATGTAGGAGGTGTGTTTTTTCTGTGGTGAATCTCTTCACCCCCCGCAGAATGATCTCTCCCCCAGACCCTGATTTACAGAAGGATCTAGCTCTGGAGACCTTTAGACAGGTATTGAAAACCTGACTCTTTCTTCAGGTTATGTGGATCCAGAAAAAATAGGGTTGCTCTCTGGAAGACTGCAATAAATTTGAGTGAATGATTATTAATTTCTCATGATGACCTCAATTATGAAGTGTTTGTTGTTGTCATTCCACTGGCAAAAAATAATCTATTAATGATTTCTTTAGGTTTTATACTTCCATTTGAAGTCTATGTCTTTAACTGGATATGTTGTTTTTATTATAACTAAGATGAGTGATTTTTATCAATGTCAGAGGATGAGATGAGTAACAATGATTTTAACCTGGCAGGCAGCTGGTAGAAATAATTTAATTTTAGCTGGGGAAAATTTCCTTTATTTAAAAGCACGTGGCACGGAATTTTGCCTGTTCCTTTTGTAAGCAAACGAATGAAAAATATTTCACTGTTGTTTTAAATGGTGGCAATGTTGCAATCCAGATTGCCCTGTCTGCTCATTTGCAATAAAATGGCCCAATAGCAGCAGTAGTGGGTTGCCCCCCCGGTTCGCACCGGTTCTATAGAACCGGTAGTAAAACCAGCAGGAGGCTCCGCCCACTGACCCCGACATCACTAAAATGCTTCTGCACATGCGCAGAAGAGCACGTGTGTGGCCCCGCTGCGAACCAGTAGTAAAGGTAAGTAGAACCCACCTCTGAATACCAGACTGATTACCTATTTCTAGGTTTTTCTGGAATAGAAAAAAAACCCCATAAAAACTCATTCTAACTTACTATTATAAACTCTCACAACAAAAAGTAATTGATTAATGGGAACCCTTCTCCAGAAACCACCCCCAAGGCTTTCCTCTGTCATGAGACGAAACATGGTAGGAGGGGAGCATGATTTGTCCTCCATTAATTTTTCCTGCTGTCCCTATCGATGCTTGCACTATATTTTACTCTTTGAATTCTGAGGGGGAAGAAATGAATGTAATGTTTAAATACAGCACATAAATCTTTATTATATAGCAGGCAAATTAACCAGGAGGGAGTAGAATGATGTCATTGCTTCTGCAAAGCAACAAGCTGGAACAAGGAAACAGCATGTCAAATGTTGTGGATAAAGCTGTGGGCTGGCGAGGAGACAGACAGACAGAGAGACAGATTGTGAGTATGCCGAAGAGGGAGCCAGACATATTCAGAGCTTAGTCAGGCAATTATTGGGCAGACAATGTATCTGATAGACAGGCTCTTTTTCCTTTTGTGAGGAAAAGAGCTCACAAAATCAGAATAAGAAAAAAGATAGGGAAATATATAAAACAAGAAGGAAGGAAGGAAGGAAGGAAGGAAGAAGGAAGGAAGGAAGGAAGGAAGGAAGGAAGGAAGGAAGGAAGGTCTTCTTAGAAGAAGCAAAAGTAGGGTATAATTCAGAAAGACTACCCCAGACATTATTGTACAAGAACAGCTGGTATTTATTTGTTTGTTTGTTTGTTTGTTTATTATGCCCTCCCCACAAGTGCTACTGGGCTGCAAATAAAATTTAAAAAATAAAAACAATTAGAATAATTCAAACATTTTAAATACATGACAGAGAAGAATAAAGCACCATCATATTGACATATACACACAACAGTTCCATTTTTTGAATTGGAAGCATCTTTTATTCAGGTGGGCCTTTAAATGCAAGGTGATAGTTTAGACATAGGTTTTATATTAAGTTCATTTGTTTGCTTTTTGGGGTATATTTTGTATTTCATTAGGATAATGTGTCAACATGCAGTCGTATTTTCCCTACAACAACCACCCTGTGATATATTTGGTCTGGCAGTGAGTCATTGAACTAAATATCTAATGAGTTCCTGTGGCTGAGGGTAGATTTAAATCTGTGTCTCCTTAATCTTAGTTTAACGTTGTCACCACTATACTACCATGATGTCTGAGACTGTATAGCAATAGCATATACTACTTCACAGTGCTTTATAGCAGTCTCTAAGTGATTTACAGCATCAGTATTGCCCCCAAAAATCTGGGTCCTCATTTTACCAACCTCAGAAGGATGGAAGGCTGAGTCAACCTTGAGCCAGTGAGGATCGAACCCCTGGCAGTCAGCAGAATTAGCCTGCAATACTGCATTCTAAGCACCGCGCCACTACAGCTCCTGGTATATTGTATTTAATTCATTGTACATTTTAGTCATTACTGTTATCCCCCCAAAGCTTTTTTGCATCATAAATAAGAAGAATAATTCAATAATATGAACATATACAGAGAAATAGATAGAGATGGTCATTTATTCATGTGATCGTTATTTGTAGATTTACATTAGTTGATTAAACGTGAGATGGTTGAATACTGTAGTATTTATTTACTTACTACCGTATATTTATATTCTGAACCTACTGCAAGAGCTCAAGGATTTGATTTTTCTTAAACAGCTCTTTTGTAATTAGTCATTTTATAAATGCAACCATTTTGGAAAATCTGGCTAAAGTTCCATAAAGTATAGGGGAACAAATATTAAATCTTGGACAAACTTTAGAAAAAGTGAGATATACATATGTAGTATTTTTCAAAGCATCTATTGCAATGCTGGTGGTCTACTCCATCCCCTGTACTTTGAAGCTTACTTAAAGGACAAGAACAAAAATACCAACCAATATTTAAAAAAGAAAAAGAAAATAGTAGAAATGGGTTCATGAATTACAAAAAACGAACTGAGAGGTCTTTCAGATTAAAGTATTGCCTTCCCATAGGAAGGTGAGATGGGTTCCCTGCTGATCACTTACAGTAGTGGCCAAAATTGTGGAAACCTTTTGGGAAAAGTGTATTTTCTAAAACTAGCTAATAACACTATTTTTTTTGGAGTAGTACCATAAAATTATATATCAATGGAAAGATAATTTAATCAAGAATGTAATGCAATAACTTTTATGAAGGATTTGCTATTAGAATAGCAGTTACAGTATAAAGAAGAAAAGTGAAACATGTAGAAAAAAAGAGATATACAAAAATTATCACCATGTCAGTTAATCCATAGTTGGGTAGCCTTTAGCATGAATTACAGCCTTACAACATCTTCCCATGGAGTAAACCAAGTCTTTTAGTTCTGCAGCTGTTATAATGGGAAACCAAGATTGAATGATTGCTTCTATTAACTGGGTTTTATTGCTGGGTCGCTTCTGACTAACATGTTTCTTTAGTCAGCTCCATTGATTTTCAATTGGGTTAAGGTCTGGGCTATTCCCAAGACATTCCAGCAGTGGAATACGATTAACTTGAAACTCCAAAAAAAAAAAAAAAAGTGGTGTTATTAGCCATCAAACCTCAAAAATTCACTTTTCCCAAAAGGTTTCCACAATTTTGGCTATTTGTACTATTTGCTTGTAACCGTAGACTTGCATTTGTGCATAATTTTGTCATGACCTTTTGTGCAGTTCAGTTTAGTCAGATTAGATCACTGTTTTTCAAACTTGGCAATTTTAGGATGTGTGCTGCCAGGTGAATTCTGGGAGTTAAGTCCGTGCATCTTAAAGTTGCCAAGATTGAGGAAAACCTGTATTCGTTGATTTTCAAAGCCTCCTTCAACCATTACATTCAATGATCAACTCTGGTGTTTGACAATATAGTTTGATATTGTTAATAGCACTGTACAATTTTATTACATATTTATTGCATAGTTTTAAAGAAATCATTTCAGGAAGTAAAAGCTGCATAGCAATAGCTTAAAATTTAAAACAAAGTTTAGACCAGTAACACCCCCCCCCCCAACCTTCTGGGCACCAGGGAGCAGTTCCATGCAGAGAGATTTTCCCATGGACCGGAGGAGGCATGGTTTCATGTACTGCCTGCATCCCGCAGATGGGGCTTTGTTTGCTTGTGCGGCCTGGTTCCTGGCATGGTGCAGTCCAGTGCTGGTCCATGGACCAGGGGTTGGGGACCCCTGCATTAGACTATATTCCATGCCTTTTGTTTTTCCAATTGTGGAAAAAGTAAGGTTTAGAAAAACAGTAGAAAAAATCACCCTGCCTTCCCTTTCCAACTCTGTCTCAATTTTCTTGATTTTTTTCTCTTTAACATGCAAGAGGAAACATGGTCCTTCTGGCAGACATTCTGTAAAAACATTTTTAAGGCAAATATAATCACTAGACAGAAACGGTTGCCCACTCTGTAAATAAAAAAGCGAAACCACCCTCAAGTCTAAGTCTAAGACATGTTAATGTACAGCTCTTGCATAATCTAACGAATAGAGATTACGCATAGAACGAAACTGCTGGAAATAGTGCAACTAAGGCAACTCCATTGGAATCAGTCTCTCTGAAATATATCCATCACTAAAACATTCTTCAGTCACGATGAAAAAAGAAGATGTCTTACGCCAGTCAATACTACCTAGGGGGAAATGGGTCTCTGTCCTGCAGCCCTTATTGCACAGCTAAGCAATGTTTTTTGCAAATACAGCCTATAAAAAGGCTTAAAAAATGGACTATTTTGCAAGATTGCTACCTCTATTGCAGATTCTATGACATGAAACTTTATCAGTGTTACACACTGATGAAGATTGCTAAAAGGAAAGAAGGGAGACTCGCTGCTTTCATTGGACGGGATTAATCTAAGTGAGTTGTACAGTTCAGTTCTAAACATCTGGATCCAATCAAAAGATCATATCCTGGAAAGCACTCCATTGGCTTCCAGAAACAAACCTCTTGCTGAGAGGTTTACACAACTTTGTTGTGTTAATGAGAAACTGTAGGAACCTGAACAGCCATTTTAAATCATTCAGACTTTGCATGAGGATTGTCTCTTTATATGTGCACATATATATCATTGTGCTAAACAAACCTTACCGTGCTTGTTAGCTTTGGAGGGTTGCCTTTCAATTACTTCTGAGATTTAATGAAAGAATGGCAGCAGTACAGCTTGGATTTTTACTTGTTCCGTTTTTTATATGCCTCAGAATAGAAGCACAATATATTATGCAAGATGCTGAACTTATGCATTATATAGATCGCCGAATTATCTCAATGGAGGTAGGTGCCCTCTCTACAGTTTGACTATATAATGAATTGTTTTCTTTGTACGGGACTTATATTCCATCAGTTTTGGGGAAATTAAAACTTTTTTCATTTAAAATAAATTAGCTTTTTATGCAGAATTCAAAATGTGACAAACAACCAAGCAGAGTGTTGTTTATGGAAGAAAGTTAGAATTATTGCTGCTCCTAATAAATTTATTACCCTGTAAAATGTGAACATTTGCAATGGGTAAAATTCTGATAAAGTCTGGCTAATTTTAAGTTCACTTGAAGATGATGGGAGAGAGTGCATGCTTGATCTAAAGGTGGCTAAATTATGTCTCAGATACTTGCTAATGATGATCCAAATGATGGGAGAGAGTGCATGCTTGATCTAAAGTTGGCTAAATTATGTCTCAGATACTTGAGATCCAAATGGAAGAACAGTATAGAAGTAGGCATATTCTTAAAATATTCTTAATCTTTAGGAGCAGATCCATATTGCTGTTTACATAAGAGTAAATGGCAGAAATAATCCAGGTGCTCCTCAAACAGGAATTAAAAATCTCTTTTAGTGATCTGGAGGTGCAGTGTAAGTAAATAATATTCAAATGTCTATGTTTATTTCTGGAATATAAATATCAGATATTTCTTAATATAATTCTATGAATCTGCCAAATTACTGAACATAAAATAACACTTTCATTAAAATTGGCAATTTTACATGCCTATTAGAATACCAATTTTATGAATATTTTGTAATGTCAAAGAGGGAAATCTATGCTCTCAGGAATTTTCTGGGCCACACAGTTCCTCACTATTAGCCATACTTAAATTGGGTAGACTGTGAATAAGCACATCCAGAGTATCTGGGTTTGCAAATGTTATGTTATGTCATATGTGGTTAAATTATACATACATTTAAACTATGTGCCCTTGTATTCAACAGCTTTTATCAGTGGTGGGATTCAAATAATTTAACAACCAGTTCTCTGCCTTAAAGACCGGCTGGCTGGGCGTGGCCATGGTGGGCGTTGCCAGGGGGTGTGACAGGCAGCACTCGGCCTCCTGCACCCCCCTGGGAGCAAAAATGGGCCACAGGGGAATGCGCCGTTCCCCCATGCCCCGTTTTGGCCTAGGAGGCCTCCCTGAAGCATCCTGGGAGCAGAAATGGGCCATAGGGGGCTGCATCGCACCACCCCACACACCCCATTTTGGGCCTAGGAGGCCTCCCTGGAGCCTCCTGGAGTGAAAACGGGCCTTGGGGGGTGCCACACCCTCCCGTGTCCCATTTTGGGCCTAGGAGGTCTCCCTGGACTTACCTGGGAGCCAAAATGGGGTGTATGGGGACTCCTGGAAGGGGCAGGGAGGGGAGGGGCCAGCCAGCAATTTAAATACTGGTTTGCCCAAACTGGTCCGAACCGGCTGAATCCCACCCCTGGCTCTTATCCTAGGTTTGCCTCTTATCACAGGCAAACTTATGTCTCCTCTACAGTAAACTTCATTCAAACCAGCAGAATCCAAACAGAAAGTCAAGAGACTGCAGTGTAACTATTGCTGAGACAGCTGTCCTTCTTTCCTTGTGTTTTTTCGGCTTTTGAGAAGCCAGTGTTCTGTGAATAGTTTATATGGTCACTATATGGTCATTTTACAAAGCAAAATCATCTAGTGTAGGTGGTTGTGCGTTAAACAGAGATGGGAAACCCAGCTTTTTTCCTGGTACTGTGTCCAAAAAATTCACAGCTGCCTGACATAGAGTGTTATTTTCATGCCAGAAAAAAAAAGTTCATGCCTCAAGAGGCTATCCTTTGACTCAGTCAACCTGAACAACTATCAACTTATCTCAAATCTTACCTTTCTGGAGAAGGTTGTTGAAAAAGGAGTGAGAAAGTGGTAAATGAACTATCCCCGTGGATGATAAGGTATAAAAGATTTAAAGGAATTCGGGCTAAGGTCTCTGGGAGCAAATGCATCTTAATTAATTACCCAACTTCCTGGTTTCATTTGAGCCAATCCATAGCCCTGCTGGAGAAGGTAACCCTTGACTAGGTATTTGTTGTTGAAATCAAATGTGCAAAATTACTCTTTTGTAGATCAGCCTTCCTAATTGCCATGTTTTGGGGGAGTGACAGTATGTGTAATCCTAACACATGGAATTATATTAGCCTGTGAAATATTAAATTACAAGTCGAGTGGAAAAAACAATGTTCTCATAACTCCTTCTTCCATGAATTCACAGCCATCCAAATACTTGCAGGTGGTATCTATTTTCACTCATAAATAAACGCTCACATAGGTTCAATCTCTGTACTCCCATTTTCAATATGGAAATGGTTTGGGTTTTTCCCACTTCAAATTGTCTACAGAGGAGTTGCAAACTCATCATTCCCAAGAAAGATTCTCAGATGCCTTTTTTCCTTTCGCTCCCTCCCTTTTCCAGCTGTGCAGCATCTGGATCAGCAGGGGCCTCATTGCTATCCGGTGCCAGCACAACAACTATTTTTACAACCTCCTAAAAGAAAAGATTACGCGGAATCTTTTCTGTTGCTGAAATTCTACAGAAAGGCTATTGCCCAACATCCTTTAAGCCCCAAAATGGGAAAGTGACCCCTTTTAAAAAACATAAAAGGGTGACTTGTTTTAATTGTATACTTAAATGTCCACTTCAAAATCAAGTGCTGTGCTTAAATATCTATTTTATGTAAATATGAAAAATTCATATTTATACATCTCAGTGCCATGCAGCTACATTGAAGAACACTCAGGCTTGAGCCAACACTGCACTGAACACCCTGTCTAAAACAGTTAATCACATCCCTGAGTTTCCCCCATAATGCAGTGGTGGTATTCAGCCAGTTCACCCGCCTGGACGTCATCACGTCCCGTTTTTGATGCTCTGCGCATGTGCGGAAGGCCCTGGACATGCACGGAGGTGTCACGTGTGCTCATATTTGCGAACCGGTAGCGAAGGTAAGTGAATATCACCCCTGCCCCAATGTATTGTCAGTTTGTTTTGAATGCAATACTGGGACTCAGAGATCTGATGACAAAATGAATGACTCTGAGGAAAGGGGAGGTATTTCATCAAATTATGTGAAATCTGATCTGAGGAAATCTCAGCTGAAGGTCAGGCAATGCCTTTTTTTTAAAAAAAAAAGTTTTTTCAGTTTTATTTTTTCTACACATAATATAAAATGTACATTTTCTTATACATAATTAATCATACATATATCTATTTCCCTAAAGAAAGCATTAAAATAAGACATTTTAATTTCATTCGGAATTGCTCTTCTACCCTTTCTTCCCTCTTTTCGCAACAAACCTTCTTCTTCCTCTCCTTTCTTTCCCTTCCCAACTTCCTCTCCTCTCCTACTTTCTCCTTCCTCCTCTCCTACCTCATCCTACTTCCCCTTCTTTCCCCCCTTCTTCTCTTCTTTCCCCCTTCTCCCCTTCTCCCCTACTCCTGTCCCCTGCCCTTCCTTCCTCTCCTTTTCCCTTTCTTCCTTTCCTCTCACTCCCTCTCCTCTTCCTCTCCTCTACTCCCCTCTCCTTTCTGTCTTCTTTGCTATATAATATATAAAAAGGTCAGGCGATTCCTGAAGGGTTTTTTTGTATTCAGAAAACCTTCTGTGGTTTCTTTGTAGTTTCTCAGTGGGGCTTTCTGCATTTCTGTCCTCTGTTCCTCTGCACTTTAGCGTTTGTTCCAGTGGTGGGTTTCAAATTTTTTTACTACCAGTTCTGTGGGCGTGGCTTGGTGGGCGTGGCATGGCATGGATTGGTGGGCGTGGCAGGGGAAAGATACTGTAAAATCTCCATTCCCACCCCACTCCAGGGGAAGGTTCCTGGAAAATCCCCATTCCCTCCCGATCAGCTGGGACTTGGGAGGCAGAGAATAGATGGGGGCGGGGCCAGTCAGAATTTTTACTACCAGTTCTCCGAACTACTCAAAATTTCTGCTACCAGTTCTCCAGAACTGGTCAGAAACCCACCTGCTGAAACCCACCTCTGGTTTCATGTTGATCTGGAAGTAATGAGAGTCATAGACTAAGCAGAAATTAGAATTATTGAGGATGGAAGAGCATTACATGAATTCAATTGAAATGGAAGAGAATAGTTATTTTCCCCTAAGCCACCTGGAATCACTCTAAGTGAATTGGGTGGCCATGTAAATTTCCTTAATAAAATAAAAAATATTTTGCATAACTTTAGGGGTACGTGCATTATAAAAATCATTCAGAATTGTTTCAGACTTGTGTGAACAAGAACATCTCTGAATTACTCTATGCAGACATACCTTTTTTCAGACTTCAGATCACTAAAAGGCACAAATTTTTAATGCGATTTTTAAAGCAGCTGCATCATTTTATAAGTTCATACTGAAGCCTGAACAAAGATATGCCTTCTTTAACAAACAGGAGAGAGATGCTACAGTCATGCAAGTATTAAGCACTTCTTTGAAATATTGGTTGAACCATCCACAGCTCTAGTAAACATTGAGTTTGGAGCCAACACTTAAACTGGTTATTTCTGTGTTCTAACTAAAGAACCGACTGAATAAATGCAATCAAGATATAACTGATTATGTAGAAGAATTCCGGCAGTTTTCAAAGAAGCTGATGTCACATCTAGAAGGCCTCAACATTCTAAAGACTGTGCTGAAGAATGATGTAGACCATTTGCTAACAAGAGTGGAAAGAGCTCAAAGAGACATTGATTACTTTGAATCTGCAAAGGAATCCCCCAGCCCGTGTGTGGACATTGATGAAGAGCTTTTGGAGCAGCAGTTAACAGAAGAACAAGAGTCCAAGACAAAGATCAAGCTCATGCTGAATGCAAGTAAGGGCAGTCTACTCATAATATTGAAAATGCATAGTTACGGTTTCATAGTTGGGCTCATGCATGCAATGTATTCATCAGGGGTGGGTTCTACTTACCTTTACTACCGGTTCGCAACGGGGCATGCGCAGAAGCGTTTTCATGACGTCAGGGTCAATGGGTGGGGCCTCCCTCCAGTTTTACTACCGGTTCTATAGAACCGGTGTGAACCGGGGGCAACCCACCATTGGTACTCATATTCCTTAACTTACAACCATAGTTGGACCAGGATTTCCATTACTTAAGCAAATTAAGTGAGTTGTGCCCAATTTTACAACTTTACAATTTTTTCCATAGTTGTTAAGTGGATCAAAGCGGTCAGTAAGTAAATCAGGAAATTGTTAAGTGAACTGAGCTTCCCCCCATTGACTGCTTGTCGGAAACCAGCTGGGAAGGTTGCAGATACTGATGATCACATGACCCCAGGATGCTGCAACCTTCATAAATACATGCCAGTTGCTAAATGCCTGAATTTTGATCATGTGATCATAGGAATGTTGCAATGATCATAAGTGTAAGCATTGGTTGTAAGTCACTTTTTCCAGTGCTGTTGTAATTTCCAATGTTCACTAAATGAAGGGTTGTAAGTGGGGGACTTCCTGTTTTGCAAGAATGATACTGCATGCTTGTACATGCCTAAAATCAATTTCATGAAAAATAATGCAGCAGTCTCACACAGTGTTTTAAGAACGCTTGCTACTCTTAGTATGATACTATACTGTCCACAACATGGCACATAAAATTATCTGAGGAGATGAAAATTATTTTAATGCATTATTGTATGCCTTCAGTCCTGAATGTTCAAGACTGAATTTGCTAATATATTCATTCTAACATTCCTTGATGGCTAAGTTAAAGTTAGAAGATTAAAACAAATAAAATAAGTCACAAACAAGGGTGGGGGGGAACTATTGCCAAACATTTGGCAACAATAAGCAGAGGGAAAATGTAATGGAAACAATAAAAGTAAACATACATAAGAAATTTTTCCTTCATGAATGTATTTTAAGTATCTTAAGCTGAATTAACAAACATCTGATAGAGCCTTACAACTAATGTAATCTTAAAAGAAATGTCTATACTTACTTAGCCACTATTAATATTTATAATAAATTAAGTATACCCTAATGCTCCCAATGATGTAACAAAAATTACAGTATACACAGTTTCTTTCTGAAATAAACCCTAACCCCTAATGGGGTTTTCTGGGGAGAGCCTTCTCTGTGGGGGCACCTACCATCTGGAACGAGCTCCCCCCAGAGATACGGAAGATCCCGGACCTGCGCACGTTTCGCCGTGCTCTCAAAACTTTTCTATTTCAGCAAGCTGGCCTGGCCTAACTCCCATCTTTTAAATTTTTTAAATTTTTAATTTGTGATTTTATAAATTGGGTGTTTTAATCTGTGTTTCGGCCGAAATATTTAATAATTTTAAGGTATTTTTTAATATTTGTATTATCTGTATTTTATCTTGGCTGTTCACCGCCCTGAGTCCTTCGGGAGTAGGGCGGTATAGAAATTTGATTAATAAATAAATAAATAAATAATTTCATTTTTGAAATAATATAATACTGAAGCCCCATTCTTCTCTAAACACTGATGCAACCAAAAACTGCACCCATTCATGACTAGCAATTTAATTCTTCTGGCTCAGATTTAAGTCCTCCAGATTTCAGTGAATTTATTTTCTGATTTGAATCCAGACTGCAGCTTAATCTATTGAATTTAAAATTGCTATATTATTTTGACAGGTCTTTTTAAATTAGAATACTTTTTGAGGCAAAGACAAATTTCTCTACTTTGTCTCTTTTCCACCCAAATGTTGACTAAATTAGACATTTGTTTAAATCAGCTAAGAAAATTTTGCCATGTAACTTAATATGATTTCAGGAGTGCCAATATAGAAAGCTCCATTTTATGCTTCTCACTAACTATAAAAGGGATGCTTTAAAATTTAAATTTGAATTAGTTTATCTCTTTTGATTAATGTTCAGCTTTCGGAATCAGCAATAAGCACTCAAAAACACCAATGCAATAATATGCAATGTAAGAATAAAATATATTGAGAATATGGTCATATTTGTAAAGAAACTTTAATGAGAAATCTCTGTTTTGTGAAACATAAATTCCCAAATATGTCTTCTGTGAAAAACATACAGGCCAAAATTGCACTGATCTCTTTTATTTATATTTATATTTTATTTATATTTTAGATATATTTGTGTACAGCTCCCAAGACTTCTAGAAGTTCTAGAAGTTTATATTAATAGAGTTAAAAGCATATGCAACTAATCAAATTATAGTAAAAAACATAACCAATGTGACCTTCCCCAGCAAAAATAATGCAGCAGTACAGTCCAGAGGTGGGTTTCAGCAGGTTCTGACCAGTTCTGGAGAACCGGTAGTGGACATTTTGAGTAGTTCGGAGAACTGGTAGTAAAAATTCTGACTGGCCCTGCCCCTGTCTATTCTCTGCCTCCCAAATCCCAGTTGATTGGGAGTAAATGGGGATTTTGCAGTAACCTTCCCCTGGATTGGGGTGAGAATGGAGATTTTACAGTATCCTTCTCCTGCCACGCCCACCAAGCCACACCCACAAAACCGGTAATAAGAAATATTGAAACCCACCACTGGTACAGTCATTTTATAATTAAAATCGAGCTAGAAACACCCATTAAAATGGCATTATCTTAAGAGTTTTGTAAAATCTCAACAGAAATATAGTATATTTCCAAAGTGATGGGTTCCACAGACTGGGGGCCAACACAATATTCAGGGCCATGTCTCCACTTTTGCAGGATCGAACCCTCAATCTCCTTTCCCTGACTTCATATTACAGATTCAGATTGTACCATCTGTTAATCCAGTTCTTTCTGATGACAGTTACTTTGCAGGTGTAAAATTTATCTTGCAGGCTGATCAGAAAACACTCCTCTGTTGTGAATGTTTCCAAGCCTCAGACTGACACAACTGCGCCAAAAAAAAGAAAGTCTTGAACCACCAATCTTTAAATTTTCAATCAAGGATGCTTTATTTTAAACGTTGCGGTAGAGCGCAAGTATCATTTGTCCTGTTTTGAAATTAAGCAGAAAACTTCCATTTAATTTTTTTATGACCATTAGTCATGTCCCAAACCTAAGCCTAAGCTATTTGGGATAGCTCTCCTTATACGGAATGGAAACATTTCCATTCCTTTCCATTAATCTGGATCAATCTTCTAACCAGGAAGGGCTTGCTTCCTCTGAGTGCTGTTTTTAAATACATACATACATACACATATACATATACAATATACATATGCATATGCATATACATATACATATACATATACATACATACATACATACATACATACATACATATATATATATATATATATATATATATATATATATATATATATTGTATATATACCAAATTTATATTTGCTGATAAAGGAATAGTATAGATCTATTTCAAGCTATTTAGCTCTCATCAGCTACCCATGCCCTTATCAGCAAATATAAATTTGGTATAAAATGGTTTGTTGTGAATGTGACTGTTTGAGGGCTCCTGGATTGGAGCTGAAAGGCGAAAGGGAAGCAGTATGCTCCCTCCCATATTGGGGTAGACCAGGTGCTTCAATAGAAACACACATACATACATACATACATACATACATACATACATACATACATACATACATACTGTATACTGTTCTCTATCCATCTAGCCCTTGGCAGGCAGATATGTATAAGTACCAGTAAATCAGAGAGAGAGAGAGAGAGAGAGAAGAGAGAGAGAGAGAGAGAGAGAGAGAGAGAGAGAGAGAGAGAGAGAGAGAGAGAGAGAGAGAGAGAGAGAGAGAGCCTTAAACAGTTCCCTGAGTAACTTACTAAATAAATAAAAGGAAGAAAATTTCTATTCTTAGGTTATCTTAAAAAGACTCAGTTCAAAAGGAAAGTAAAATAAAGACAGAGTGGAAAAACAAGAACATTCAGGTTCCCAAGTGTGAATATTTGATGGCTTCTTATTAAATACATAAATTTTATAAGGGTAGCATACAACTTTGCAACCTCAAGAGCTACTCTTCGTTCATGTTATTTAGTCCCAGTGGCCTCTGAGGGAAGGGATCGTAGCTCAACTAGGAACAGCAACAGAAGAGAGACCCTGTAAAATAACATGTTAGCTATTTTAATGTACAAAAACGAAAAAAAGATAGCAATAGCACTTACACTAATATACTGCTTCGCAGTGCTTTATGGCCCTCTCTAAGCTGTTTACAGAGTCAGCATATTGCCCACAACAATCTGGGTCCCTCATTTTACCAACTTTGGAAGGCTGGAAGGCTGAATCAACCTTGAGCCGGTGAGATTCGAACTGTCAATCTATTGGCAATTGGCAGTCAGCAGAATTAATCTGCAATACTGCATTCTAACCACTGCGCCACCACAGCTTCAACAAAGGATGGCAACTAAACAGCCAAAGTTTTGAGCAGTTTATGCTCGCTTCATTTATGTTTGTTCACGTAAGTGGGGATATTGAGATACTACATCAGAATACTGTTTGTTTGTTTGTTTGTTTGTTTGTTTGATTATTTAATTTATATGCTGCCCATCTCCAGATAGGTGACTCTGGGCAGTTTACAGGACATAAAACGATAACTAAAAAAGCAATTAAAATTTTTAAAACTTTTAAATTTTGTTGATGGCCTATTGTTTATCTTCTTTTTTTTTTTAAGGCTGCAGCTACATGATCACAGGCTTCAAATCGCTAAAGGTAGTCAAAAAGTCTGGAGATGCATTCGGCTCATGGTTGAAAGACCCTGGCAAGAATTACCAAAAGATTTACTTCTTCACCGGAACAAAGAATAAAATTGTTATGGAGTTTGCAAATATTCGATCTTTTGCAGAAAGTGGTGAGAAACAGCTGGCTCGTAGAGTTGCACTACCATTTCCCTGGCAAGGAACAGGCCATGCTGTATATAATGGATTTCTATTTTATCATAAATATGGCTCCTTAAATGAGATAATTAAGTTTGATATTCAGAACAGAAATGCAACTGATCAGATGCTGTTGTCGGGTGCTGGAGAGATACCTGCCTACGAACTTCACCCTTCTACTAAAATAGACTTAGCTGTGGATGAACTAGGATTATGGGCAATCCATGCAGAACTAGATACTGCTGGAAAGCTTGTGATTACTAAAATCAACCATGAAACCATGACTGTGGAATATACATGGGATACATCCTGCAGAAGCCAGAATGCAGAAGCTGCTTTCATGATGTGTGGTGCTCTCTATGTTGTGTACAACTCACCAGGGCGTGGTGTCTCTCAAATAGAATGTATTTATGACACCTTAGATGTCATCAGTCCGTATGAAAACACAGTACTTCGTTTCCCCAAACGTCAGTCAAATCATGCTATGGTTCATTATAATCACAGAGACAAACAACTGTTTGCCTGGGATGATGGCTCTCAGGTCATTTACAAGCTCATTACAAGTCAAAAAAGTTAAAAAAAAAAAAAAGAACAGAATGTCCTCTATACCAGCCTAACTACTACTACTACTACTACTACTACTACTACTACTACTACTACTACTACTTCTTCTTCTCCTTCTTCTTCTTCTCCTTCTTCTTCTTCTCCTTCTTCCTTCTTCCTTCTCCTCCTCCTCCTCTTCCCGTGCCCCCTACCCTTCTTCCTAAAGTTTATGGCAGTAATGGAGAACCTTTTCGGCACCAAGTGCCCAAAAAGTGGAACACGCACACCAAAGCACCAAAAACCCAAGGACCAGCTGGCCAGCGTGCATGCGTGTGCCAGAAGAGCAGCTGGCGACAGCGCGCGTGCCCACAGAAAGGGCTCAGCATGCCACCTTTGGCATGCATGCCATAGGTTTGCCATCACGGGTTTATGAGATAGTATATAATTTGTTGTTTTTGTAAGAAGTTGTCTCAGCCTACCTGAGATCTAGGGGAGCTGTTGAGTTAAAGAAAGGGTGGATTACTTCATACAGAAAAGATTTGTCTTTTCAGTGCAGCAGCTTGGATTACTTCATATCAGGATCTAAGAGACCATTTACTGCTAAAAAAAAAAATGAGGGTGCCTTCAGAGAAAAATGAGGAGTGGGAAAGAAACAAGAAGCATCATTGTTTTTCAATTCTGGGAGTCTAGAAGGGGAAAAAAGAGTACCTGCACTTTTATTCAAATGTAAAATATAGGATGCTTGATTTTATAGCATCCTTTGTTTTTCTGTTTTCTTCTGTTTACAGAATTTTCTTCTCATCCTCACCAAGAACTTCTCTGCTCTTCCGAAACTATTTTAACTAGATCAATTCTCTTTTCTAAGTTCATTTTCCTTTCTTTGACTTACTTATTGTCCCAAAGTTCTTCCTTTCTTCCCTTTTGCTTGGGAAAAATATTTGTGGTAGAATACTGTAATCTCTATGCTTGTATTAGTATTCTTGACAGAGGGAAGAAATAACCTGAGCAAGGATGAGTAAGCGAGTGTATAACTTTACTAGAAAAAGAAATTTATTTTAGGAAATGCTTGACAGGGATAGCAAAGCCTAATACTTAGCTTGCTACACCATGCAGAGAAAGGAGGCAAAGATTAGCAAACTCAGAGGCAGGCAGAGGGACAAATATTTTGCTTTCTATATACATCCTACTTCCCCTTGAGGTCAGTAGATTGTGAGGCACCCAAGAGTTAGTCTCAATTCTAATGAAAGAGCATATTTTTCCCAATAAAAGATCATTTCTCTTTGCCCAATTATTTTCAAGAAAAGCTTGAAGATTACGCCTGAGACCTTTGAGACCCAAAAAGTATAAATAATATTGAGGAAGATGGTTCTGTGCTTTTCTACCTTTCTTGCATTTCCTTTCTTTTCCTTTGTTGGATGATCTGTGTGTCCTCCAAGCCAGGAACTACATTTAAAATGTGAGGTAATGATCGAGCTTGGTGCAATCCAGTGGTGAAATCTATTTTTTTTTACTACCAGTTCTGTGGGCATGGCTTGGTGGGCGTGGTGTGGTGTGGCTTAGTGGGTGTGGCTTGGTGGGCATGGCAGGGGAAGGATAGTGAAAAATCTCTATTCCCACACCACTCCAGGGGAAGGATACTGCAAAATCTCCATTCCCTCCCCACTGCTGTGGGAAGGATATTGCAAAATCTCCATTCCCACCCAATTCTGGGGCCAGTCAGAGGTGGCATTTGCTGGTTCTCCGAACTGCTCAAAATTTCCGCTACCGGTTCTCCAGAACCTGTCAGAACCGTCTGAATTTCACCCCTGGTGCAACCCCCTTGCTTGCTTTCCCTGGTAAACCCACCTTCTGCATTTTTTAATGGAGAGAACCCTAAGATATGTTGTCTTCTTTACTGCATATATGTATGAATACTGCAGAATAATATTAATCCATGCCAATGATTACTGTGACTAATTTTTCATAATTGCACATGAAACAAAAATTAAAACAAAATATCATCACTACACATCCTAGCAGAGTCACAAAGCTATACTGCTGATATAGAATAGGAATGTGCTGTTTTAGGTAGGATTGAAAACAGAAAGTCAGAAGAATAGGAAGTCCTCTATGTGCAAAATGAAAAGAAGTACAGTTTGACACATCTGATACTGCTGGACACAGATGGTTCTCTTTGGGTTGTCTCATATATATGCTATAAATGAGAAGATCCCATGTAGATTCTTAAGCTCTCACTAGGTTACAACTGTATATTAAAATCCTGATCATTTTTGTTGCTGCTATTGAATTATTATTGTTGGCGGAAAAAACGGAGTATAGATCGTTTCACAGGAGGATGCATTCTATTTTTACATCGAATAACCGACTGGCACTTGGAAAGATCTCTGATTTACAAGGAAGTATGCAATCTCCATCAAGCCATTTAAAAGTCAGTGGTAAAGGAATTGAGAGTGGATGGCAGATTTTGTCGTTCCAGCTTTGAATTTTGCAAATTCCATCCTTCTTTCTTTCCTGTTTCTGTTAAAAACATTTTCTGTTGTATAGAAGTATCTGCCAGTGATGCAGCTTCTATGTAATGAAAATAAATAACTAGCAGTTATTAATAAATACTTTGCTGGATAAGTTCTAATATTGTCCACCAATTCTTGGGCTTAGCACCATATCTACAATTTCTTCATTGATAGAGGTCGCACATAGTTATCACACAACTTTATACCATTTACACTTAGGTTTTGCACTTGTTTGAGGTTAAGATACAGCTGGACAGCTGGTTATATTAAGCACCATTTCTTCAAAATGATTCTGACCAGTGGTGGGTTTCAAAATTTTTTACTACTGGTTCTGTGGGTGTGGCTTGGTGGGCATGGCTTGGTAGGCATGGCAGGGGAAGGATACTGTAAAATCTTCATTCCCACCCCACTCCGGGGGAAGGATACTGCAAAATCCCCATTTACTCTCGATCAGCTGGGACTTGGGAGGCAGAGAATAGATGGTAGCAGGACCACTCAGAATTTTTACTACCATCTCCGAACTACTCAAAATTTCCGCTACCGCTTCTCCAGAACTGGTCTGGACCTGCTGAAACCCACCTCTGATTCTGACCATCTATCAACGTATCTAGAGATAACCTTTTAAGCGCCTATCGCTTTGGATGTGAGGGAGTTGTAGACTAAAAGATAAGTCCTTTCTGCATAACTCTGATTCTTTGGAGCAACTTACTCCTAGTCCCATCATTACAATTTGCAAAGCTGTGAAAACCATCCTTCAAAGCTTCATGATGAGTGGGCAGTCACTGTTTCTTCTTTGATACATCTGGAAGTAGGAGATGTCATTTTACCTTGTGGGAGTTCCAATGTTCTATTACGTGGCTTGTTTTCGTGATTTTTTTTTATATATACCAGGGTCTATCTCTTGAGGACATAAATATAGTAATATAATGCATTAAAATTAGCACACATGATTCTCACAAATTTAAAGATGCCTGAATTTAAATTTCAATAAGAAACAATACAGGCTAAGACAACCAAAATGTTGTTACTGGGGAACGAGGTAAGGAGAGAAATGAATGCCCAAACAGATACATTTTGTTTCCACTAAACAACCACACTTCAAATCATTTCAGAAAACAACCACAAAAGTGATGAAGTTATTTCATGGTTTGTCTGTTTAAATCAGAATTAAAGATTTTTCTTGGCTCAGCATGTCTGCCATTCATACTTTCTTGGCACTTTTGGGGTAAACAATGCTCCGTTTGGGTGAAACTTATAATTGCCCTTCTAATAACCATTAAGTCCTGGCAGTGTGTTATTCATACTTCACAGTAGACAGATTTGTTCACAGTGAGATGTTCTGATGAAGATACGAGATTTGCAAAGGAAACTATAGACAAAACAACAAGAAGGGAATTACAACTTTGATTTTCTGTATTTGCATTTCCCCATGCAAATATTCCCCATTCAAATATTAAGTGATAGGATTCTGTGGTCAACAGGAAGCAGGAATACAAACACTTCAGTTTTTATGTGTTCTACATTTTTCACTATATTGCATAATGAAAACATCATAATAAAACACTATTATGATTTTAAGCTTTCCCGATGTTTTTAACTTTGGGGAAATCCAAACGTGCAATAAATAAAACCAATTTTCAGTACCCAATACAGTACAAAATATGGATAGCATAGCACCAAATACTGTACATGCCCCTATTTTTCTTCCCAAATGCCAGATATACCCATTCATCCAGAACTTGAAGAAAAATTCATTTTGACTGTTCTGGAGAGACAGATCAATAGCCCTGTTTTTTCCAGGCAGAATAAGAAATACAAAAAAAACCCCAAACCCCTGTGGAGATGGAAAAATTTAAGTTCCAAAACGTCTAACTTGCAGCTTGCAGCTTCTGCTGCTCTTTGCATGATAGCATATAGAGAGTAAATCAAGCATCATTATTGCAGGTCTGGAAGACTCAGAATTCAGAAGAAGTATCTCTATGTGTAGTTTTGCCGGTGAAGGTATGTGTTTAATAATAAACGTATAAATGTAGTCTTTAGAGCAGAGATCTTCAAACTTGACAGCTTTAAGACTTGTGGACTTCAACTCCCAGAATTCTCCAACCAGCATAGCTGGCTGGAGAATTCTGGGAGTTGAAGTCCACAAGTCTTAAAGTTGCCAAGTTTGAGGACCTCTGCTTTAGAGGAAGACTGGAGAAACAGTGCCAATAAGGAATGACGAAGGTATTTGGAAAATCTGAAAGACTGAAGACCGAGGTGGAAGCAGACATAGAAGTATGTATGTATGTATGTATGTATGTATGTATGTATGTATGTATGTATGTATGTATTTATTTATTTATTTATTTATTTATTTATTTATTTATTTATTTATTTATTTATTTCTACTTTTAAGCGGAGATCAAGGTAGTTAATGTAGGGATTTTTTTTTCCCTCTTTCAAAATAACCAAGATCACTCAGTGAAACAAGTCTGCAATAGAACCTGCAGAGGCAAAATAATTGCATAAATACAAATGTAAGAATTATGACTTCCAGTGGCATTTTAAGGATTTATTACATTATGCTGACCTGGACAGTATCCCCTTCATCAAATGAATGATTATCCAGAACAGGAAATATAAACAATGAGGTCACAGGGAGATGAGGCATAATGTAATTATGATGATCTCATTGAAAGTTACCATTCAAAAAAGAATTTGATTTCTTTATCTAAATCAGCACATTTCCGTCCTGAAATCTTTACTAGAAAGGAAAAAATATATAAAATCCAATCAAAAGCCTTCATGAGGGAGTTCTGATGTGGAGCTAAAAATGAAACAGTGATTGTTCACGGAGTGCATGTTTTGCTTTGTCAACAAAGCCACAGTTGGATAGAGTTATTAATACACTAATTCCAACTTATTCAAATGGCTTTGCAAGATATATGATATATATCTAAGATAGATCCTGTGACATTTTTTAGAATCATGTAATTTTTCCACGAGTTGATTGCACAAGTTGATTTTCCACAAGTTTTGGCTCATAGCTCAAGCCTTTTTCTGGCACCATCACTATCATTAAACATTCAAGCAGACTTTGTGATATCCTATAAGGAGGCAAAGAAACTGGCTACGGTGACTTGGTATCCTCTTGGTTGGATTACTGTAATATACGGTGTATCAAACTACCTTTCAGGATGCGCTGGAGCTTTAAATCCAACCTGTGGACTTCAACTCCCAGAATTTCCCAGATGCCCATGCTGGCTGTGGAATTCTGGGAGTTGAAGTCCACAAGTCTAAAAATTGCCAAAGTTGGACAACCTAGCTTTAGACAGTGTCAATAAAGCTGTGAGAGCTTAACCTGGAAGTCATGTGATACCAACACTGACTTCCAATCAGTTTCAATACCAAATCAAATCAAATCAGAATAGAGCTGGAAGGGACCTTGGAGGTCTTCTAGTCCAGCCCCCTGCTCAAGCAGCAGATCCTGTACCATTTCAGACAAATGTCTGTCCAGTCTCTTCTTAAAAACCTCCAGTGATGAAGCATCCACAACTTCTGAAGGCAAGCTGTTCCATTGGTTAATTGTCCTCACTGTTAGGAAGTTTCTCCTCAATTCCACGTTGCTTCTCTCCTTGATTAGTTTCCATCCATTGTTTCTTGTTCTGCCCTCTGGTGCTTTGGAAAATAAATTAACCCCCTCTTCTCTGGCAGCCTCTCAAATACTGGAATACTGCTCTCATGTCCCCCCTAGTCTTTCTTTTCTTTAGGCTAGCCAAACCCAAATCTTCCAACATTTTTCATATGTTTTAATCTCCAGGCCTTTAATCATCTTAGTTGCTCTTTGCACTTTTTCCAAAGTCTCAACATCTTTTTTGTAATGTGGTGACCAAATCTGTATGCAATATTTCAGGTATGGTCTTACCAAGGCTTTATAAAGCGGTACTAATACTTCATGTGATTTTGATTCTATGCCTGTAGCTCATGTTTAAGTGATCGTTCAATAAGACTCCAAAGTCCCTCTCTCTGTTACTGTTTTGGAGCCAGTTTTCACCTAATCTGTACTTGTACAGATTAGTTTTTCCTGCCCAGATGTAAAATGTTGCTTTTCTCCACATTAAATTTCATTTTGTTGGGTAGGGCCCATTGTTCAAAAGCACATGTCGCTTTTAGTCAACTAAACTATGCACAATTTAGAATTATGAACTCCTCTCTCTTTATTTACCATCCTACCAGAAAGTCATTATTGGGAAAACCTGTAACTTTGTAAATAAGAGGGGGCAGAATCTGATATAATAGTTCACTGATTGGCTGCCAAATTTCAGATCATGTCCAAAGGTTTCTACATTTTCCTTTCTTTTTAGAGAAGGCAGATGAACTTGGGGCTCAGAGAGAATGAATGTGATTTTAAGATCCTCACCCTCTTGGGAGATGCAACAGATGACCAGCTTCAGGCAGATCTCAGGAATTCACTATTTTTCAGCAAAGAAGTATTTTTCATCAGGTCCGCCTGATTTGCCAGTTGCGTCCCTTTCTGGATCGGGACTCCCTACGCACGGTCACTCATGCCCTCGTCACCTCCCGCCTGGACTATTGTAACACTCTCTACATGGGGCTCCCCTTGAGGAGCACCTGGAGGCTCCAACTGGCGCAGAGTGCGGCCGCGCGGGTGGTAATGGGAGCGACATGGCGTTCCCATATATCACCTCTCCTGCGCAAGCTGCACTGGCTCCCGGTGGTCTTCCGGGTGAGCTTCAAGGTTTTGGTTACCACCTTTAGAGCCCTCCATGTCTTAGGACCTGGTTATTTACGGGACCGCCTACTACCACCAATAGCCTCCCACCAGCCGGTACGCTCTCATAGAGGGGCTCCTCCGGGTGCCATCGGCCAAACAATGTTGACTGGCGGCCCCCAGGGGGAGAGCCTTCTCTGTGGGGGCACCTACTATCTGGAATGAGCTCCCCCCGGAGATACGGAGGATCCCGGATCTGCGCACCTTCCGCCGCGCTCTTAAGATCTTTTTATTCCACCAAGCGGACCTGGCCTAATCTTTTCCCTCTTTTTAATTATGCAAATTTTAATCGGTTTTTAAATGATTGGGGTGTTTTAATTTGTCTGGGCCAAATTGTATAATTCGATT